GAAGCATTTTAACTTGCATTAATGCTTTATGTCTCCGCATTTATATTAAAAATTCACACACAAATGAAAATGGAAAAACTGCCAATATCTTATTTCTGTCCCCCGTTTTTCCCCTCGTAATCATATGCTTAGGTACCTTTTGACCCCATGGGAAAAAAATTATCTAACATTCAGAATGACCAATAACAAGAAGAAGAGAATTTTTTTTTTTTTTTGAGAATGAAGTGTTTCCCATCACAGCGGATTCTTAAGCATGTTCTCCACATGTGCGGCATGCTAGCTGCATGTCTTTTGGCGTAATTGTTACACGTCTGGCACGGATAGCACAAAGGTTGGTGTCTTCAAAAAAGGCCAACCAGATTGGCCTCGCTTGCCTCCTGCAAAGCACCGATCGCTGCGCTCTGGAAGTGCAGATCTGTTTTAAAATCCTGAGCAATTTGTCACACCAGACGCTGGAAGGGAAGTTTGCGAATCAGAACTTCAGTGGACTTCTGATAACGCCTAATTTCACAGAGTGCCACAGTACCAGGCCTGTAACGATGAGGCTTCTTCACCCCTCCAGTAGAGGGCGCACTCTTGTGAGCGGCTTTTGTAGCCAGTTACTTCCTGGGTGCTTTACCACTGGTAGATTTGCGGGCAGTCTGCTTGTACGAGCCATGGTGTAGAGACCTCCTTACTTACCCGCCTCTCCCTCAGCTGGAGCTTGGTGAGTGAGAGGCGGCGCTGGCGTTGGACAGCAATAGCGGCAGCTGTGAACACAACTTTTTTTTTTTTTGAGACAGAGTCTCGCACTGTCACCCAGGCAGTAGTGCAGTGGCGTGATCTTGGCTCACTGCAATCTCCACCTCCTGGGTTCAAGCAATTCTCCTGCCTCAGCTTCCAGAGTAGCTGGGACTACAAATTAGCCACCACCCCCAGCTAATTTTTTTGTATTTTTAGTAGAGACGGGGTTTCACCATGTTGGCCAGGATGGTCTTGATCTCTTGACCTCGTGATCCGCCCGCCTCAGCCTCCCAAAGTGCTGGGATTACAGGTGTGAGCCACTGCCCCAGGCCCATCTTCCCTACTTTTTTTTTCTTTATTTTTACCTGCAGCTGCCTTTTTGTATAACTCAACTTACCTACTTTTAAATGTAGAGTTTGTTGGCATTAAGTACGTTCACGTTACTGTGCAACCATCACCGTTATCCATCCCCAGAATGTTTTCATATTGCAAAACTAAAGCCCTATGCCCATTAACAGCTTATATTCCCACTCCCTCCACCCCCGGCAACCTCTGCTCAACTTCCTGTCTCTGAATTGGACTACTCTAGGTACCTCCTCTAAGTGGAAGCATATAATTTTTGTCCTTTTGTGTCTGGCGTATTTCACTAACATAGTGCTTTCAATGTTTATGCATGTTGTGGCATGTGTCAGAATTTCTTCCTTTTTAAGGCTAGATTTTATATATGTGTGTGTGTGTGTGTGTGTGTGTGTGTGTGTGTGTGTGTATACATATAGTTTTTCACACAGTGTGATCAGATGATTCAAATATTTTGTTTTGAGGCTTTAACCATCAGAGATTCTTCCCCCACCTCACCCCTGTTTTTTTTTTCCTGAGTCACACAAAAAAATTAAATTAGATATTGCTGGGGTAGGATTTGGATCCTCTGAAGGCTGTAAGGTTGCATATGTTGTCATTAAGCGAAAAAATGTATTGATTGGCAGGGTCCTGCCAAGAGTTAAAGTGCCCAGAGCCTCCAGGCCGGTGCGGGGGTCACCTCGGGTCAGGCAGCTTCAGGGCATCAGGCTACTCCAGAGGCCTCAGGCCTGGGCAGTGGGCAGTAGGTACTGGCCACGGACCAGAGCTTTCTGTGCCTTTCGTGACCCTGATTTTCTCTGGAGATGGTTGTTTAAAAAGATGTGTTTTCTGAAGGAATGTAAAATGGTGCAGCCACTTTGGAAAACAATCTGGCAGTTCCTCAGCAGGTTAAACTGAGAGTTACCGTAAGACTCAGCAATTAAAAAAACAAAAAACAGAACAAAAAACCAAAAAATACAATCAACACATTTTTGCCAAAGAGAGAGAGAGAAAAAAAAAGACCCAGCAATTTCCCTACTGGGGATCTACCCAAGAGTGAGGACGAACGTCCAGTCAGAATTGTTCACAAATGTTTGGAGCAGCAATGTTTATAGCCAAAAAGTGGGAACAACCCAGTATCCATCAACTGATGGATCAACTGCTGAAACAGAATGTGGTCTGCCCATCCCATGGGATATGCATTGGCCATAAAAAGGAATGCAGCACTGACACATGCTACGTCGTGGATGAACCTTGAAAACACGCTAAGTGAAAGAAGCCAGATGTGAGAGATCACATCTTCTAGGAGCCCATTTCCGTGAAATGTCCAGAATAGGCAAATCCATGATTGGGAGGGATGGGTACAGGGTTTTTTTTTTTTTTTTTTTTTCCCCAGGGAGAGGTGATAAAAATGTTCTAAAATTGCTTATGGGGATGTTTGCACAACTCTGTGAATATGCTGGAAACCATTAACTTAAGGGTAAATTGTACGGTGTGTGTATTATATCTCAATAAAACTGCTTCAGAAAAAGATAGGGTTTAGCTCAGCTGCCACTGTGTGTCCCGCAGGTGGATAAAGTGGTTCAAATGTTCGAGACCATGTTAACCCGCCACACGACCATGGTGGTGGGGCCCACAGGCGGGGGCAAGTCCGTCGTCATTAACACGCTGTGTCAGGCCCAGAGCAAGTGAGTATGAGCTCCATGGGGAGGGCCTGGCTGCAGGGGGCGCACAGCGAACGTTTGGTGGCCGTATTACCGAGTCCCACTGAGCTCTCTGATTTCCTGGGAGGGTAAAGTTGTCCTACACACACCCCTTTTGACTCAGCATGTGCTTACTGACTTTACTGCTGACTTAGTGAAGATATTTTAGAATGTGAAATAGTGACCCATTTGTGCATCATATGGTGAATAGGTTCATTTGTGAAATTAGAATTTCACGAACTATCTTATAGTCTCCTTGAAAGGAGACTTTGAAAATGAAAGTAAGTCATAGTTTCTTGGTGTCCGGATTGCTTCCTTAAAGTAAGTCAGGATTCACATTATGCAGCACTGCTGTGGTTTCAGAGTGGCCAGGACAAGAGTGTCACTTCCCTGGGTGCCTTACAATCTCCAGCCCTGCAGAGGCAGTTCTTCGTGAAGGAAAAAGTGATTGTACATTCTCACATAGAAGATCGTAAAGGAGCCGGGCGTGGTGGCTCATGCCTGTAATCCCAGCACTTTGGGAGGCCAAGGTGGGAGGATGACATAGGCCAGGATTTTGAGAACAGCCTGGGCAACATAATGAGACTCTGTCTTTGCGTTAAAAAAAAGTTAGCTGAGTGTGGTGACGTGCACCTGTGGTATAGCTACTCAGGAGGCTAAGGAGGGAGGATTGCTTGAGCCCAGGAGTTAGAGGCTGCAGTGGGTGAGGATTGTGCCACTGCACAGCAGTCTGGGCAGCAGAGTGAGACCTTCTCTCTAAAAAAAAAAAAGAGAGAGTGTATCATAAAAGTCTACAGTGGATTGAAAGCCTTCTATCCAAAGTGGGTTCCTGACTCTTCACTTCTCCCCTAAGCAGTAACTAACTAGATTCCAGAAAGACCTTGGATGCTGATAGCCCGGCAAAAAATCTAAATCAAATCTACAGTTTTTGTGACTTAAACATTTCTAGGTAGTCTATGAAAGCTAAAGAATAAGTGACTGTCATTTGTTCCCATTATTTCTTCATATGTTTCATATGAAAAAAAACAGTCGACAGTGGCTTACTGACTCTAAGTGGGCTGTGCTGGGGCCATCTGCATTTCATTCTTTTCATTTTTTTTTGAGATGGAGTCTTGCTCTGTCGCCAGGCTGCAGTGCAGTGGTGCAATCTTGGCTCACTGCAAACCTCCGCCTCGTGGGTTCAAGCAATTCTCCTGCCTCAGCCTCCCGAGTATCTGGGATTACAGGTGCATGCCACCACACCCAGCTAATATTTGTATTTTTAGTAAAGAGGAGGTTTCACCCTGTTGGCCAGGATGGTCTCCATCTCTCGACCTCGTGATCTGCCTGCCTCCGCCTCCCAAAGTGCTGAGATTACAAGCGTGAGCCACCGCGCCTGGCCTTGTATTTTATTCTTTAATTAATTCATTGTTAGATAGTTTATAGAACTATCACATACATATGTGTGTATGTGTAATATAACATGCACATTATTATTATTTGCTGATTTGTTGGTTGTGAACTGGGGAGTGCATGAAGTTTAGTTCTCTTCAGATTAATTGATGTTATAGTGAGTGCTGCGGGGATTTACAGGCATCATGGGGAGAAATGCCATCTGCTTGATTCACGAAGTCCACACAGAGCAGGTGCTGTTCTGTAAATAAGAAGGAGTGAACGTTAGTAGTTCAAAGCCTTGTTATTTTCCTGGGTGGCTGAATGTGGTCTCCTATACACCCTTAATTCTGAGATATTCACTTAAATGTCATATATTTGAATATGTAATATGAAATCAATATGAAACATACATGACATTTAGCTTCTTGGTGCCCTCCAAAGGCAAAGCTGTGCTTCTAGTTCAGACTGCATTTGTGCTGTGGCTACAGTTTTGGTGAAATGTGGTTGCTTTATGTTTGGAAGAAACCACTAACAGTGAAGGGAAGCCCAGGGGAGAGTTTACATGGGTTGCATTTTAAATTTTGGATTGAATTCAAAACATCTAATTCCTCACAGAGGGAACCCAGATTGTTTTCCTCATGTATTTAGTTTGCTTGAACCATGGCTAAAGTCTCTCTGATTTAGGCTTGGGCTGATGACAAAGTTATACATCCTGAACCCCAAAGCCATGAGTGTCATAGAACTCTATGGCATCCTGGACCCCACCACCCGAGACTGGACCGATGGCGTGTTGTCAAACATCTTCAGGGAAATCAACAAGCCAACAGATAAGAAGGAGCGAAAGTGAGTATCCTTGTAGGTAGGAAAGAGCCTGGGTTAGTTAATGTTAATTAGCTCATCATTAAAAACGGTGGCAGGAACGGGCATGGTGGCTCTCATCTATAATCCCAGTACTTTGGGAGGCTGAGGTGGGCAGATCACAAGGTCAGAAGTTCGAGAGCAGCCTGGCCAATATGGTGAAACCCCATCTCTACTAAAAATACAAAAATTAGCCGGGCATGGTGGTGGGCCCCTGTAGTCCCAGCTACTTGGGAGACTGAGGCAGGAGAATTGCTTGAATTGGCCGGGAAGCGGAGGTTGCAGTGAGCTGAGATCACACCACTGCACTCCAGCCTGGGCAACAGAGTGAGACTCTGTATCAAAACAAACAAAAACAAAAACAAAAATGGTGGCAGGACTATACATTGTGTACATTGCAGCTTCATGCTTGGATTTCAGCAGACTCAGAATGGAATCCTGGAGGCTGTGCTTAGGAAGTGCAGTGTCCAATCTTAGTGCTTTGTGTATGTGAACAGTCTTCTTAGCGATGCAGTGCGGTGGGTACCGGGATTGTTCCCAGGTTACCACGGAGAAAACTGAGGCCTAGAAGGGCCAGAAACGTGCCCCAGGGCCTGGGATTTGACCCTGATTTGTGTGACTCTATACAGCCGCTGTCAAGCTCCTGGTCACCATGTTCTCTGGCAAGGTAAGTCAAGGAAAGGTAGCAAAGTGCTGTGGAGCGTGCAGGCGTGCCCTCCTGAGCCATAGCTTTCCATCTGTAGATGTGGTTCATGGTGCCCCATGACGTCACCTCGTGCCATGGCCGGGGCCACGTGAGGCCAAGTAAGGAAAGGCTCTGGGGTGGGTGTCAGGTAAAAAGCTTTTAGTTGGTCCTATAATATCTCTTTGGTAAACTCAGGAATGGTTCTGATTTTATGTTCTAATCAAATCCCATTAATAATAAATAAAATCCTGAAACAACAAGAGTCCGAAGTCCCGACTCATGGCTTTTAAAACAGCTGCTTCTTAGCGCTTTGCCCCTGATTCTGGACGGACTCAGGGTTCCACACGGAGTCCCCTTGTCTTGTTTCTTGTCAGTCTTTAATTTTGAGCAGTTCCTTAGGATTTCTTTTATCTTTTGTGACCTTCTTGTTCTGGAAGATTCCGGACCAGCCGTTCTAGAGAATGCTCTCCGTTTGGGTTTGTCAGTTGCTTCTTCGTGATTAGATTCAGGCTACGCCTCTTTGACAGGAAGGCCGTAGGACTGGTGCTGTGTCCTCCGCATCTCATCACGGCACATGGTGTTGGTTGCCCTGTTATGGGTGGTGGTACTCTTGATTATTGGGTTAAGGTGCTGTTTTCCTCTTTGCAGTTGATATGCAACTGTAGGGAGCTCTCTTATGACTAAGTAAATACCCCATTTCTCATCCAGCCTTCACCCATTCACCCAGTGGTTTGAGCATCTATTGATGGTTGCTTGAATCTAGTTGTCATAGTCATTGTCTTCTTCTTCCTCCTCCTCCTCACCTTCCTCCTCCTCCTCCTCTTCTTCTTCTTCTTCTTTTTTTTTTTTTGGGAGGGGTCATACTCTGTTGCCCAAGCTAAGTGCAGAGGCATGATCATGGTTCACTGCAGCCTTGAACTCCTGGGCTCAAGCAGACCTCTCACCTCACTTTTCTGAGTGATTGTGACTACAGGTACATGTCACCATGCCCAGATAATTTTTGCTTTTTTTGTAGAGACAGGGTCTCCCATTACTGCCCAGGCTTGTCTTAAGCTCCTGGGCTCAAGGGATCTTTCTGCCTCAGCCTCCTAAAATGCTGAGATTATAGGTGTGAGCCACCACACCTGGCCTTTGAGTCTTCTTATAATGAATGTAAATGGAGACTTTCTATAGGGACAACTGGTGACATTTGAATGTGGACTGTATATTATATAATAATATGTATCAATGTTAGATTTTCTGACTTGGGTAATTCTGCTCTGGTTATGTAAGAGAAAGTGCTTATTCTTAGGAAATACTTGCTTTAGGGGAAAGGGGCATTTTATCTGCAATTGACTCTCAAATGATTCAGAGAGAGAGAGAGAGAGAGAGAGTATGAGAGTGCAAATGTGACCAAAAAAAACATAACAATTGGGGAATCTGGTTAAATGCCATATGGGGGTTCTTCATACTATTTTATTCTTGTAACTGTGTAAGTTTGAAATTCTTTAAAAATAAAAAGTTAAAAAGAAAAAAAAAATGGGAAGGAAATAAACCAAAATGTTAATGCTGCCAAAAAAAAAAAAATCCATCTATTCATATCAGTGAGTTAAATGGGCACTGTCAAACTACCCTTTCGGCATAGCAGAATGGCGTCCATCCTGCGGAGATGGGCTTTGCTGAGTGAGATGTAAGCCATTATAGCCACAAAATGGAACCGTCATGAAGTTTGAATACCTGAGGCCTTGGAAGTAGACCTGCTGCCAGGACAGATGGTGTGTCAACCAGGGCTTGAAAACTCATATGCCCCGAGGGACCCAGCAGGTAGCACAAATGAGGGAAGTGGAGCTAAGTACGTGGTGTTATTAGTTTCCTAGGGCTGCCATGACAAATAACTGGTGGCTTAAAACAGCAGAGATTTATTATCTCACAGTTCCAGAGGCCAAAAGTCTAAAAAGAGGTGTGGGCAGGACTGCACTCCCTCCGAAGGCTCTAGGGCGAATCCTCCCTCGCCTCTTCCACTTCTGGTGGTGCCAGGTGTTCCTTGGCTTGTGGCCACATCATTTGAGTCTTTGCCTCTGTCTTGGCCTTCCCCTTTGCCTGTCTCACATCTCTTCCTGCTTTTCTCTTATAAGGACATTTGTCATTAGATTAGGGCTCATCTGTATAATGCAGAATGATCGCCTCTTAAGATCCTTAATTACGTCTGCAAAGGCCTTTCTCCAAACAAGGTCACAGTCACAGCTTCTGTGTGAACAAATCTTTTGGTGGTACCATTCGATCCACTACACATGAATATCCAGAATACTTTCTTTTCTCTTAACTGTAGCACAAGGAAACCAGGGGTTAAAACCAGCGTTAAATAGCAACTGATACTCAGCCTCAGATGTAAGAGAAAAATGAGATAGGGGCTGGGGGCGGGCAGGGACTACGGCACTTTCTGTCTCCATGGTCAGCCACTACTCAGCATCAGCAGATTGTTCCCATGAAGGAAGGAATGCAGGTCTGTGTGCTCAGAATTTCCAGTTTGCCCTAGAAGTGAGAAAATCAGATTTTTGTGTGAAGTTCCCTAATTCTTAAATATTGGCAACGAATTCAAACATTTTTCTTTTTTGAGACGGAGTCTTGAACTGTTTCCCAGGTGGGAGTTCAATGGTGCGATCTCGGCTTACTGCAACCTCCGCCTCCCATGTTCACATGATTCTCCTGCCTCAGCCCCCTGAGTAGATGGGATTACAGGCACACACTACCATGCCCAGCTAATTGTTTGTATTTTTAGTAGAGACGGGATTTCACTATGTTGGCCAGACTGGTCTTGAACTCTTGACCTCGTGATCCACCTGCCTTGGCCTCCCAAAGTGCTGGGATTACAGGCTCAAACAGTTTTTTATATACCATTCAGTCAAACCTCTGGGCCAACTAGGGTACTCTTTCTCAGATCCTGGCTAGGAAACCCTGGGAAAAAGACATTCAACATGAATGGGCAGGTTATACCAAGTTCCATAATTGGAAGCTCTCTAGGACCCATGGGTCTCCTTTCTTTGGCTGCTCCAGGTATATTTTATTTGATGGTGATGTGGATGCTCTATGGGTGGAAAACATGAATTCTGTGATGGATGACAACAGGCTGTTGACATTGGCCAACGGGGAACGCATCCGGCTCCAAGCACACTGCGCCCTGCTCTTTGAGGCAAGTGGTAATTAAAAGTAAATTTGAACCTAAGTCTTTCTTGCAATTAAACATGTAAATGTTTATTAAAGTAGTAGTAAATATAGATGATTTAAAAAACAAACAATGCTTAAGGGTTTATAATAAGTACAACCCTGTGTTCTTTACTCCTCTCATCGCTCTTTATCCCAGAAGTGTCTACTTTTACTTTTTATGAATTGTTTCTTCTGATGACTAGTATCTATAAGTAACAGGCTTAGCATGATATTCTTCCTTTATACATTTTATGGTTTATACATTATTTATTGACTGATGGCTACAAAAGTGAGAATTCATCTCTTACACCATTAACATCAGAATAGTATATTGCTAAGTTGGTTAACAGTACATAATGTTTACATTATAATGAAGACAGAAATATTTACTGAAGAACCAACTAATATACTATGATTACATTTACTCTTTTTTTTTTTTAGAGCCATTTGCTTTGTCTGGAGTTTGTAATTGCCTACCTTTTTTCCCTCACACTGTTTGCCTTTATCTTAACCTCTTTTTTAAACTTTCTATCATATCAAGTATTCTGTTGAGCCTCTTTATTTCCTGGAGACTGTTCTCCAAAGCCTTCTATTTCCTGCTTAGGATATGGACTCCTTGTTTCATAGGTGTGGCCCTGGGACTTGCTTTCACTCTTAGTATTAATGCCATTCCTAACTGTAAAATTTGTCAGTGCATGAAATATTTGTACATATTATTATCTGATGAGCTGACTGAACTGTATTTTTTTGTAGAGAGAGCTAGGTTTGTTAATATATCTGGTTTAGTTGTATACTTATGAAGTTTTATACTACCTGATCTCAACTATGTTAAAAAAATAAAGAAAAAAGATTGAATGGAAAACACTCCAAAACAACATTTGTTTCTGGGTGGTGGGATTTGGATAACTTATTTTCTTCTTTATACTTTTCTATTTTTGTCAGATATTCACAACATATTAATTTTCACGTTAATTTTATAATAAGAGAAAACCAAAAAGTTGTTACGTCAGAAGTATGTAATCTTTTCATCATAATCCCAGTTGAAAGCTGTGTTCATCTTGGTATGATTTAGATTTTGTGCAGTTGTAATAACTTTGCCTAAGAGAAGGTCCTTAAACATCTAGTTCATCTTGCGCATAGCTTTAGCCAGGATTGATTTTCTTTATTTCTCCAGGTTGGAGATTTACAGTATGCCTCCCCTGCAACTGTCTCTCGATGTGGAATGGTTTATGTGGATCCTAAAAACTTGAAATACCGACCATACTGGGAAAAATGGGTTAATCAAATCCCCAACAAGGTGAAAACTTTTTCTAAAATGAACTTAAAGTTATTAGTGTTGGTGGCTAGTTGGATGACATAGTCCAGAGGGATGTTTGTAGTGGAAGGCAATGACCTTGTCCTTGACCTGCCCGTGTCCTTGAGCACAAATTAAGTGAAAACAAGGCAGACACACTTATTAGATTCCAGATAATTTATAGCCAGCGGGATAGGTAATGATTGGACTCTCTGGTCTAGACCAGAGGTTGACGCCTTTTCTGTAAAGGGGTAGATAGTAAATATTTGAGGCTTTGAGTGAGCCATGCGATTTCTTTTACAACTGCTCAACTCTGCTGTTGTGGCGTGAAAGCAGCCAGAAATTTGTACACAAACGGGCATGGCTGTGTACCAATAACACTTTATTTACAAAACAGGTGACAGGCCAGAAGTGTGTGTTGTCTTAACAAAAGGCTTCTGTGAAAAGTGCAGAGATGGATATTACAGTCATATGTGGGTTGTGGCTCTACCACACCTGGGACACTATGACCACAGTCTCAAAGGAACACAAGTGGCCTGGGTGTGTCTCTAGAAAGGCTGCCAGGCTGGAGGTGAATGGAAAACCAGGACATAATTATGCCGGAGAAAAGCGGAAGAAAGGAAGGATGATGGAACCATTTGAGGCACTGTCCTATGGGAGGCAGCTGTCTCGGGACCCAGGCAGTCCCTGTTAGTGATTGGTGCCTTGATCGGGAGGGGGCCTTTGCTGCTTCACACTCTTTGCTGGATGACTGTGGTCATGGGACTTGAACTCTAAGATGATCAGCCTCTCTTATGACAAATGGGACCTGTTATCTTCCCTTTCTCCTTCCCAAGGGCATGGCAGACCCTGTGGCAGAGAAATGAAGGACTTCATGATGAGCTGAAAGTATGTCGTAAAGGACAAATCTCTGCCAACATAGGGCACTATGATCAGGGCCTCCTCACCTGCCAGTGTACCATCATCAGGGCTTGTTGCTCAACCCTCTTTAGGCAAGAAAAGCTTTCCACCAACTTCCATTTAAATAAACAAACTCTTGAAATGCTTTGGAATGCTGCTTTTTTTTTTAATAGGTGGAGCAATACAATTTGAATAATCTCTTTGAGAAATATGTACCCTATCTCATGGATGTGATAGTGGAGGGGATGGTGGATGGAAGACAAACAGAGAAGCTGAAGACAATAGTTCCTCAGACAGACCTCAATATGGTAAGAAACGGTCCCTGCGGTCAGCAAAAAGAAATTCCTTCCTACAGACAGGCCCACGGGGCCTTAAGGGGAGTGGAGATGCCAGTCAGGGTAAGCAGTAGCATTGTGGACCGGTGCCATGCTTGCTTCTGTGCAGGTCAAGATACTGGGTTCCATCTGTCTGAACCAACATGAGGGGTCATATGTTCCCATCCTCTGGGTCCCGGAATCCTGGGATTTATGATTGGAACGGAATCTGTGTGGGTGGACTGTGTGGGCTGAACCAGATATTTTCCTGTGAACCAGGTAACCCAGTTGGCCAAGATGTTGGACGCGTTACTAGAAGGAGAAATAGAGGACCCTGACCTGCTGGAGTGCTACTTCCTGGAGGCTCTGTACTGCTCTCTGGGAGCCTCCCTGCTTGAGGATGGAAGGGTGAAATTTGATGAATGTATCAAACGCCTTGCTTCCTTGACTACTGTTGAGACGGAAGGAGTTTGGGCCAGCCCTGGGGAACTGCCAGGTGGGAACCGAGTGCTGCCTGCTTCCCTACTCTGAGTGCCTTTGGTTAAATTTCTAGAGGAAGCGAATAAGCTTTTCCGTATTTCTGTCTGTATGAGTCTTCCAGATAGTTTGCTTCTCTAGAGGAACACGCAGTGGTCGGAGCAGGTGGCGGGACCCCCGGGGCAGTTAGCACTCCGACTGCGGTGGCAGGAGTCCACGCCCTCTGGAGGGTCTTTCCGGATGAGAGTCAGCTTTCCTTGCCACAGCCGAGGCACTTGCTTCCTTCCCTCCTTAAGCGTTTCACATTCTGCAGGACTTGGAGTTTCTTCTCCTTGGGCTTCTCTGTCTCTTATTTTTATTTTTAGCCAACTCTCTCAATTTCCACCATGTAATCCATCTGCTGTATTCCACAGTATCTGCACAGTAGAAAATCAAGTGTGGATTTGTAAATCGTTCATAGGAAATCATAAAATTAACATTTTATGTTTTTGCACAAAAATGTGCATCTTCAAAGAATCATACATGATGAAAAGGATGCATTCTCCAAGGCTGTATACGGGGCTAGGGCCGTTCTTTGTCCATCTCTTATTGATGTTTGAGCATGGCTTGGAATATAGATGCTTTTGAAGTTGCATTTTATAATCCTTACCTGGTGGTCTTTTTAAAGTTTAAAATAAAATGACCTCCAGTCTTGCTGATGGAGAGTTATGGAGTAATTAGAAGATGTTGTACAAGTCCCTGCTGTGTTCGCTGGCAGTCTGACTGCTCTTTTTCAGAACCGACATCTCCCTTGAAGGAGTGCTCTCCAGCTCCGTCGGCCGTGCTGGCTGAGGGTTGCTGCCGTCTGCAGTTCCCTCACTTGGCGATGATGTTGGCCTGCTTCCCCGGCCTGCCTCCCTCATTTGCCCTCATCTTGGGGACCTGAATGACCCTCTGAACCTCCCATTTCCAGACACCTGTTTGCAGGTCCAGCCCTCCAGGCCCTCAAGCATACCCTAGACTCCCCCAACGCCCGGCGCTATCGTGTCTGTGTCACAAATCCCGCTCTCCGCCTGCTCTGCTTCTGTGACTCGGGATACACGTGCTCCAATTTGGTCTCATGGGGACGGTCAGTCTGTTGCGCCGGTGTCTGCTGTTGCCTCGAGCTCCCACCACTTGCCCCTTCCCTGCGTCCTCACTTCTTTGGCTGGTGGCCCTCACTTCAGCCACGCTTGCCCAAGACCCCGAATGCCTTGCCTGGTTGTCCTGTTGAATCCCTCCGAGAAAACCCCAAGTCTGTCTTCTCTGCCTCTCTAGGGGCTGGCAGCAAGAAGACCATGACTCTGAGCAAAGGGGAGGTGATCTCTGGGTTCGGTGTTGAAGTCAAAGTTCATTGAGTGGGTGAGAGCTGGCAGGTGTCCTTGCAGCAGCATGAGAAAGGACAAATACAGTTGGGGACTGCTGAGTTAGGAGAGGATTGTGGACTGGTGGGAGATGATGGCTTGGCTGAGGAGGAGGCGGTGAGACAGGTGTCTCCATCAGTCCCAGTCCCCGCTGGCACACACACTCCTGGCTCCGTCTGAGTCTCTCTCTCACCTCCAGTCTCCCCCTCTCTACCATCCCAGCAGCTCTTAGACATGCTCAAGTAAAGCCTTGCATGGTCTGGGCAGAGGTGATGGTGATTACAGGAGGGGCCAGGGCTCCCGAGCTCCTGGGCACCTACCGCTTCCGTCTCTCCCCTGCCCGGGTTGCCTGTCTTCCTTTTCGCATTGTCTATTGTGCCTGCGCTTCTCCTGTGGCAGTGCTTTGGGCTCCACACTGAGAAATGGCTGCTTCTTGCCTGTATCTGTCCCCCACCTGGCCCTCCAACAACTGTAAGGCTAGGGACCAGGGCTCTCTGCCGCACCATTGTATTCCCAGGGAAGTGTATGTCCAGTGAATGGGAAGCATTAGTTCAGAATACTCAGAAAGAGTCTGACCAGTGCACAAGTCACATCAGTGACTGTACCGTGAACAAGAAGCACAAGCTCCAAATACTTGGTGTCTGTCCAGTGATGAGTAGCGTTAGTTCAAGGCATTCGGTGTCTGTCCAGTGATGAGTAGC